TCATCCAGAGCTCCCAAGTGGGCACAACTGAAGCCGCGCTTGTGGAGCTTGAGTAGAACACGGTGCTTGTACATTTAGTGCTAAAGGGGCGTACACGTAGCCTGGCGTCGATCGGCGCGCAGCTAGAAGTATCCTACAGTAGTGGTTGTCAGAGTTGGATACAAGCCTGTTCCAAGCCAGAAACGGACAGCCACATCGGATAAAACACCAGGAGAGCCCTATATTAGAGTTTATTTCAGGTGGAAAAAATGCGAGTTCTAGCGCTCCGGAGTTTCGCTCCGAGTTTCGCTCGGTTTTTGGAATCGTATTTGTTGTATTCCTACCGTAAGTACGAATTCATGCTGCAACTGACAGGTGTACCGCAAAATATAATCGCTGGAGCGGTTTACAATTTAGTTGGGCGTGAACGACTTCACCAACCGCTGCAAACAGCAAATTTAGACGGAACTGACAATATGCCTGGAATGGGTAAGATATCTTGGAATCCAAGAGATGTGGCGCCCACCAATATAGCCTCGAATCTTCTTGGAGTCGCCGCTTGTATCCAACTTTGACAGCCAGACACCAAGCCGGTCGCGTTTTTGTCTAGTTCAACCAAGTAAGACTCGGTAAATTGTCTATAAATATTGATAGGGACTGGATAAGACCCTGGTCCAAGTACCAGAACCGCTCTGACGGGAGCAAAATTAAACGTTTTGATTGGCTTTCTAAAAGTGGTACATCATACCATTTACGTCTGACAGCTCTTGTAGAACTCGTTTTCAAAGCTGTGGTCTGAGCCGTTCTGAGTTCTAGAACCGCTATTGACTCTGTCCAATCACGAGTACTACTGCGGCCATATTTGCTGTCGTGAGCGCTAGCGTCGCTGTGACGTTTACAGTCACCGCCGATCAGTGAGCACGCGAATGAGCGGGAAACATGTCGACGTTTCCTATGGAGACGTTTGAGAGAGCGCTCAAGGCTCCGCACACGAAGTGGTTTAACAAGATGCGGCGTTGTGATCGCTCCTTCTTTCTTATCATCACCCGGACACTTACAGGGACGTAGCAAGTTAGGCCGCATCACAACGCTAAGCTTAGGATTGTCCATCGCGTAGCACTGCCTATGATGTATTTAGTGCAAGGGG